GTCCTAAGGTCAGCTCAATGAGAACAGAAATCTCATGTAGAACAAAAGGGTAAACGCTGACTTGATTTTGATTTTCAGTATGAATACAAACTGTGAAAGCATGGCCTATCGATCCTTTAGATCTTTCGAATTTGAAGCTAGAGGTGTCAGAAAAGTTACCACAGGGATAACTGGCTTGTGGCAGCCAAGCGTTCATAGCGACGTTGCTTTTTGATTCTTCGATGTCGGCTCTTCCTATCATTGTGTCGCAGAAGTCACCAAGTGTAGGATTGTTCACCCACTAACAGGGAACGTGAGCTGGGTTTAGACCGTCGTGAGACAGGTTAGTTTTACCCTACTGATGAACGGTTGTCGCGACAGTAATCTAACTTAGTACGAGAGGAACCGTTGGTTCAGATATTTGGTCATTGCGGTTAGCTGAACAGCTAGTGCCGCGAAGCTACCATCTGTAGGATTATGACTGAACGCCTCTAAGTCAGAATCCATGCTGGAAAGCGACGATATTCACCTCTCCCGATGTTACACGCATCACGATAGGCTTCGGCCGAGCATCATACTCCATCGCAATTTCGAATGTTGGGAGGGATAAATCCTTTGTAGACGACTTAAATATGGAACGGGGTATTGTAAGCATGAGAGTAGGCTTTGTCCTACGATCTGCTGAGATTCAGCCTCTTGTTCCGGCGATTTGTTAATGTGAAAGCAGACAGCGAGCTTCTGTGCGCCCTCTTCCGAGAGTCGAGCTGCACGTCGATCCATCTCTTTCGCGCTCCCCCCCCAATCAAACCAAACACACAAACCAATTCAGCTCCAATTGGAGCGAACCAACCCAAACCCAAAAACAAAACCCGTGCCTTTTTGTGCGGGTTTCTCATCTGCGTCTCCCGACGCAACACTCTACTCCAGAAGACCAACTTTAACACCAAGCCGCTTTCGTGCGGGTTTTATCTTCATAGTGATCGACTACTCGGACTACTACTACTACGACTCATCGACTCCCACCACTTCTCTGAAAACGCCCAAGTCCAAATCGTGCGGGTTTCTCGGCGACCATTGCCAAGTACCCTGCACCGGACACTTTTGACGCCCGAATACGCCCGTTTCCTCGCGCCGTAAAACGCCCCTCGCCGTCCGCCGCGCCTCGCCCCGCCCCCGCCGGGACTCCCTCTGCTCGACCGACGCACAAACCCGCGCGCGCGCGCGCGCCCGTCGCCGCGCGCGGCCGCGAATACGGCCTTTTCTCCCGCCTTCGCGCGCGCGCCGCCGCCCCTCCTCGACGCCACTCGTCCGTCGCGCCGCCCGCGCCCCGCGACGACGCCGCGCGCGGCCCGCTCGCGACGCGCCGCGATCCGTCGCGCCCGCGTTGCGCGCCGCCGAGGCCTCGCGGCACCGTGCCTGCACGCTGAAGTCGAGCTCCAGGCCTTGGCCACTTCGGCGGCACCGCGTCTCGCCTCGCGAAGCGTCTCGCCTCGCGTCGCTTCGAGGCGGCGCGAAGCGTCTCGCCTCGCGAAGCGACGCCGTGCGCGCGCGCCGACGACCTCCAGACGCCGCGCGACGTGCCGGGCGGCTCGCGCGAAGGCGTCGCGCGGCACACCCATCGACGCGACCCGCCGCGCTGACGCACGCGCGCCTCGGCGACGCGCTCCAAGCGCTGCCGAAGCGCTGCGACGCTCTCAGCGCGCTCCGCCTGCGCGCTTCCGGCGTTGCTTGCCGTACGCCGCAGCGACGATACCCGCGCGCATGATGCTGCTGTCCGCGCGCGCGACGCCGTTCCAGCTTGCGACGCGCTTCTTCGCGAGCGGCGGCGGCCGAGGCCGAACCTTTCTCGATCGCCTGCGCGCCGAGCCCGGCCTCGTCAAATTTCAGTTCTCTCGATCCTCGGGACCGGGCGGCCAGAACGTCAACAAGGTCAACACGAAAGCGGAGCTGCGCCTGGACCTTCGCCGCGCCGTCGGCGCCGCGGCGCTCCCGCGAGACGTCGCCGACCGCCTCGCCGCCGCGGCCACCGTGACCACCGAGGGCGTCCTCGCCGTCGCGTCCCAGGCGCACCGCACGCAGAAGGGCAACCGCGAGGACTGCGAGGCGAAGCTCGCGGCGCTCCTCGACGACGCGTGGGATCCGCCGAAGAAGCGGGCGCTCCGCGTCGGCATCTCGGAGACGACGAAGCGGAAACGCGCCGAGGGCAAACGACGGCGGGGCGACGTGAAGTCGAACCGGGGCCGCGTCGACTATTGACATCGGCGGCTGATCCTAAATTTCCGAACGCCTCAGAGGCTTGGCTACCGTGGCGGACGCCTCAAGTGGCGCCTCGTGCCTCGTAGGCCTCCTCGGGGTATACTTGCAGGGATCGAGCAGACAAGTTTGGATAACGCTTTTCGGCAATGGCAGACGCTGGCTCGGGGGCAGCTCCTGCGCTTGTGAAGCTGTGCGGGGCATGCGGCGAGCGGAAGTGCAAGGACGCGTTCAGCAACAAGCAGTGGGCCGCGAAGGCGGCGAAGCGGCGCTGCAAAGTGTGTGTGGCCTCGGATGCATCGATTGGTGGCGAGGCGAACGCGAGCATCCCGAGTCGCGTTGAGACCTCCACCGAGTGTCCGATCTGCACGTACACGTACTCTTCGCCTGCGGAGCTGACGACGCTCCATTGCCAGCACGTAATCTGCGCGAAATGCTTCAATCGAATGGACCGCGACTTCGACGGGGCGCAACGGAGATGCCCGCTGTGCCGCGCGCGGTTCCTGAACCTGGGCGCGGCGGCTCAAGTGCATCACCGCGACCACGGTCTCGCCTTGAACGCTAGTCTCGAAGCTGCCCTGTCTGAAGTCGAAGGCCATCCATATTTGGAGCCTCTCTTTGGGTCCTGGCTGCAGCCCCACGGCTGGGAACCCGACGGGCGCGGCGCTCACGGCGCTCGCCGAGGACCTCGTGGCCATTCAATTCCTGATATCGTCTCGAGACTCACCGCTCACGACAAAAAGGCAATCATTTCCATGTCATTGTCGCTCGCGATGCGGGTCCCCACGTCGTATTTGTACCTCGAGAGCAGTCCGCTGCTGCGCATGCTACGCGCCGGCGCTGATCCCTCCGCGCTGTCTAGTCCACCGCCCGGACAGCCTCCCGACGACGTCGGGGCGACGGCGCTGCATTGTCTTCCCGAGTTGGCGGACCCGAACAGCGGCGCGTCTCACTCGAACGTCCTCGTCCTGGCTCGTCAATTGCTAGACGCCGGCGCTGACGTGAATGCGCGCGCCGGCCCCGGTTTGTATAGGGTCACGCCACTTATGCGCGCATGCAGCTCGGACGTCGCGACGAATCTCGACTTGATTGACCTCTACCTGGCGCGGGGAGCGGATCCGAACCTCACCGATGTTTACGGGCAGACCGCTGCAATGCACAGCATGCCCTTTGCCCCGGCGGCGGCGAGGAGGCTTGTCTTGCTCCCATCCATTGATCTCTCGCTTCGCGTGCACAGCGACAGAAACAGGGGGCAGTCGCTGATGGACATGGTGCTTTTCGGTCTCGCGAATATATCCCACATCGGACTGGAAAGTGACGCTGAGGACCAGCGCCACGTCCTCCAAGCGCAGCTGGAGGACCTCCATGCCCTCATTTCCGAACGCCTTTCGGCGCCTCGCTAGCTACCGCCTGTTGTCTAAAGCCAGTGCCTGAATATGAGCGGCCCTCGGTTAGTTCCACGCGAGCGCGCCTCGGTCCTTCCAGTAGGCCGCGCCGTCCTGGCGGCACGCGCGCATGAGCTCCGCGAGGAGGTCCGGGTCGTCCGCGAGGCGCCGGGCGCACGCGTCCGCGCCGAGGTTCGACGCGAGCTGGTCCGCGGTGACGGCGCCCGAGAGGACGTGGGGCCGGAACGGCTGGGCGAGGACGGCCGCGAGCGCGAGCGCGTCGGGCGCGACGTCGAGCTCCGCGGCCTTGGCGACGAGCGGGGCGCACTCGAGCGCGCGGCCGTTGGCCATGGCCTCCTTGACGATGATGTCGACGCCGGCCTCGGCCGCTCGCACGAGCGCGTCGTGGGGCCCCTGCTCGAGCACGTTGTAGGTGACCTGCAGCGCGTCGAAGAGCTTCTCGTCGCCGCCGGCTTCGAGCGCCTTGGCGACGACGTCGGCCTGCGCCGGGCTCGACACGGACGCGCCGATGCGCCAGCCGCGCTCCGCCTTGATCGCGCGGAGTTCCGCCAGCACCGCTTCGTCGTCGAGCACGCCGGAATCGAGCGTCGCCGAGTGGATCTGGTAGAGATCGACGTAGTCGCCGATGAGCGCCGCGGTCTCGAGCGTCTGGCTCCGCAGGTGCGCGAGCGAGTGGTCCTTTATCTCGTGGGGCTCCCCGTCCGTCGTCACGCGCCACCCGGCGTTGTAGCGGTAGCCCCACTTGGACGACACGCAGACTTCCGAGGGCTTGATGCCGCGCTCGCGCAGCCAGGCGCCGAGGAACTCCTCGGCCTTGCCGTACGAGCGCGCGGCGTCGAACCAGCGCACGCCGGACGCCCACGCCGCGTCGAGCACAACGAACGCTTGCGCTTGCATCGACGCCTCGTCGCGGCCGCCGAGGTGTTGCTCGCGGCCGAGATTGATGTAGCCCGGGCGGCCCAGCGCGGCGAGGCCGACGCCGATGCGCTTCGGAATCTCAAATTTGGGCGAGAGGCCCATGGCAGAGATCGCGCACGCGAGAACGCCTGCTCTCATATGCGTGAGCACGGCGTCGGCTGGGGCGCGTTGGCTGTCTCAAACCGAGCCACAGCGTCGCGTACGAGAGCTCAGGAGTTCCGGATTGCGCGGTGCGAGCGCGAGCGCGGCGTCGGCTGCCACGGCGCGCGTCTCAAGTCCAAGCCACAGCGTCGGCAAGGAGCGTCTGTGGCTCGAGAAATTCAACATCTTCAAGAGCAGGTTCGATGCAGTGGTGCTGCCCCGGCGGCGCCGCGGCATGGACGCCACAATCGTGCTACACTACGACGAAGGGAATGTAAAGCACACGACGCGCCTCTCCCTGCCGCGATCGAAGCTGGGGCTGCCTCTGTCAAAGCTAGCAAAGTCGTTTGCAAAGAGCCTTTCAGCCAAGCTCGGCAGCCCGATCGATCGAGGTCGCCTTGTATTCCAGACGGACGGCGTCGCGCACGCCCACGACCGTCCAGTTGCGGATGTCGTCAGCGCAAATGATGACGCCACACTGATCCGCGTGCGTCTGAAGGCGGCAGCTGCGCCCACGGTGCCAACGCCCAGTCCGAAGACGAGCCCCGAGCGCGCGCCCGCGCCGCTCGCGCCCGCGCCGCCGGTACCGGCGCCGCCGGTACCAACACCCGCGCCGCCGGCACCGGCGCCGCCGGTACCAGCACCCGCGCCGCCGGCACCGGCGTCCAAAAGCCAGCGCGGCCAACACGTGATCAAAGCCGCGCAACACCGAGACGTCGTCGAGCAGCAGCGGGAGATGGGCGAGACCGGCAACCTGACGATGACGGCCGTGGAGTCGGCGTCGTGTCTCTCCGCCGAGGGGACGACGCGCGAGGAGGGCGTCGCCGAGGACCTGCTGCCGATCGTCTACGGCGGCCTCCACAACGTCTACCTCGCGAGCGTCGCGCCGCTGCTCGGCGACCGGCGGTGGACGAAAGCCGTCGCGTCGGCCGTCGAGGCCGCGGTCTTCGACCAGCGCGCGCGCGGCGCGGGCGCGGCGCGCGTCTGCGTGCTCGGGCTCGGCACGGGCGCGGCGGCCTGCGCCGCGGCGCGCGTCGGCGCCGAAGTCGTCTGGGTCGAGACGCTCAAGCGCTACGCGAACGTCGCGGCCGCTCTCGCGAGGCGAAACGGCCTCCGCGTCGACGCGCGCCACTACGCGAGCAAAGGTGCCACGCTCGCGTCCTGGAAGGGGGACGGCGACCCCTTCGACGTCGTGGTGACGGAGAGCGGCGTCGCGACGGACTTGTTGGGCAACGAGCTCCTCGTGCTCGCGCGCGCCGCGCGGTCCGCGCTGCTCCGGCGCCCCCACGGGCGGTTCCTGCCCGGCCGCGCGCGCGTCTACGCCGTCGCGCTCGAGCTGCGCACGGGCGACGTCTCGGGCTTCGACCTCTCGGAGTTCGACGCGTTCCGCAACGGCGACGGCAACCGGCCGGCGCTCCGCTACGCGGACAAGTTCGCCGGCCACCGCGCGCTGTCGGCGCCCGCGAAAGTCTTCGAGCTCGACTTCAACGACCCGGCGAGCCTCGTCACGGCCGCCGAGGCCGAGCGCATCGCCGAGGTCATGCGCCGCGAGAACCCGACCGAGATCTGCACCGTCGTCGGCGTCCGGCGGACGACGCTCCGCGCGGCGCGCGCGGGCGTCTTCAACGCCGTCGGCGTCTACTTCGACCTCGAGTACGCGCGGGGGGGCTGGCTCTCGTTCGGCCCCGCCGCCGCGAAAAAGGACGGGCCCCTCGCGTTCCACGACGTCGTCCACTACGTCGGCTACGAGCGCCGCGTCGCCAGGGGCGACGCCGTCGAGGTCGCCGTCCACGTCGACGAGGCCGCGGACCGCTTCGTCGTCGCCGCGCCGCCGGGGCCCGGCGCGACGTTCCTGCGCCAGAAGCCCGTCCTGCAGTACCACTTCCACATGATCAACGACGCGGCGCGCAACGACGCCTACGAGGCGGCGATCGTCCGGGCGCTCGCCGGGCGCGGCGGCGCGCTCGTCCTCGACGTCGGCGCCGGCACGGGCCTGCTGTCGATGATGGCCGCGCGCGCGGGCGCGCGCGCCGTCGCCTGCGAGATGGTGCCGGAGCTCGCCGCGGCCGCGACGCGCATCGTCGCGGCCAACGGCTACGCCGGCGACGTCGCGATCCTCGCGCGGCGCAGCGACGCCGTCGGCGTCGCGGACCTCGGCGGCCGCCGCGCGGACGTGCTCGTCACGGAGATCTTCGACTGCGCGCTCCTCGGCGAGGGCTGCGTGCCGAGCATCGCCGACGCGCGGCGCCGGCTCCTATCGCCCGGCGCGACCATCGTGCCCCGCGCCGCGAGCCTCTGGTGCCTGCCGCTCTTCGTGCGGGGCGGCCGCCGCGCGGGCGAGCACGACCTCCGGGACACGAACGCGCTCGCGTGCGACGGCTTCCTCGGCCAGATGAACGCCGTGGGCGTGAAGCTGCAGACGCTCGACGCGGGCGCCTACGCGCGCCTCGCCGCGCCGATCCGCGTCTTCGACTTCGACTTTTACGCCGTCGCCGCGGACGCGGCGGAGACCAAGGAGGTCGAGGTCCGCTTCGAAGCCGACGGCGTCTTCAACGCCGTGCTGTGGTACTTCGACCTGGACTTGTGCGACGGCGTCCGCCTCTCGAACGGGCCCGACGACCCCGAGCTCTGCTGGGACCAGAACCTCCGCTACCTCCCCTGCGAGATGGTCGCGCGGAAGGGCGACGCGTGCAGTCTCCTTGTCTCCCACACGGCGACGCGGTTCTCGATGCGCGTCTCGCGCTGGTCGCCGGGCGCCGTCCCGCCCGACGCCGTCGGGCATCCCGAGGTGCTGTTAAATAGGCGCTAATTACCGCGAAGCGGGAGGTTGTCGATGAGGCGCACGTTGCCGAGGCGCACGGCGACGGAGAGGATCGCGCGCGGCTCGGCGCCGCCGTCGGGCGGCGGGACGACGTCGAGCTCGGCCATCGTGTCGTAGTCCGCGACGGAGACGTACTCGACGCGGCGAACGAGCGGCTCGGCCGCGAGCGTCGCCTCGGCGGCGCTCCGGAGCGCGGCGGCGGGCCCGGGCCCCGCCTGGGCGCGCCAGGCGTCGCGCGCGGCGCCGAGCGCTCTGAAGACGACGGGCGCGGCCGCGCGCTCGTCGGCGTCGAGATACGCGTTCCTCGACGAGAGCGCGAGGCCGTCGTCCGCGCGCGCGGTGTCGCAGACGACGACTTCCAGGTCGAAGGCGAGGTCGCGGCGCAGGCTGCGGAGCACGGCGCACTGCATGGCGTCCTTCTGGCCAAAGTAGGACCGCTTCGGCCGCACCGCGTTCCACAGCTTGGCGACGACCGTGCAGACGCCCGAGAAGTGGCCCGGCCGCGCGGCGCCCTCGCTCAGCGCGTCGAAGCGCGGCGGCGGCAGCACGGCGACGCCGTCGCCGTCGCCGTACATGTCCTCGACGGTCGGCGCGAAACACGCGGCGACGCCCGCGTCTCGCAGGACCTCGACGTCCCGCTCGAACGTCCGCGGGTATTTCTCCAGGTCCTCGCCGGGCGCGAACTGCGTCGGATTCACGAAGATGGACGCGATGGCGATGTCGTTCTCGGCCGCCGCGCGCCGCATGAGGTCCGCGTGGCCGGCGTGCAGCGCGCCCATGGTGGGCACGAGGCCGACCTCGCTCTGTTGCGCGCGCCAGCCGTCGAGGTCTTTGCGCGTGCGGAGGATCGTGATGGTTCGACGTGCGCTGCGGAGCATCGCTGCTGCTTTGAAGTGCTGGACGCCGTGCCTCGCGCGCGACGCATACGCGATCGCACTGCGACTTCAAGAAGAGATCAATCAGCTAAAGATGCCCCATGCACAATCGTGGCTGTCGTGCTCTCTCCAACGCCGCCGGAGCTCGGAGCTTTTGGGCTGCCGCGATCATCTCGATTGCACTATGGGTGGCGGTGTCTCCATGCCGACCGTGCCGCTGGCCGTGGCCACGCAGGAGCTGCTGAAGAAGAAGTACGAGGCGCTCAAGGCCGAGGGGAAGGACGACGACAGCATTTCGGCGGAGCTGGCGGCGTCGACGCCGGGGATCATCGTGTTCTCGCAGATCGATTGCGACCACAACGGTAGCATCAGCAAGAAGGAGCTGCAGCGCATGCTCAAATCGCTGCCCCGCAAGAAGCCGATGCCGCCGCCCGAGGGCTGGCCCGACGGGCAGGCGCCCGCGTTCGTGCCCTTCGAAAAGATGGCGGACACGCTCGACAGCGACGGCGACGGCGTCATCTCGCTGGACGAGTGGCTCAGCAACCTCAGCAAGCTGCCGGGCCTCAAGGCCGCCATCGACCAGAACCTCGACGCCGCGACGGGCAAGCTCGCGACGTACCAGAGCCTCGAGGACCGCCTCGCGAAGCTCATCACGGACGTCGCGGCCAGCGTCCTGTGGCCGCGACGATTTTCGAGAGATTTTGACCGGGAAAACGATGAAACGTCGTCACCGTCATGCTTCGTAGGTCGCGGCGCTCGAGGCCAAGGAGTCGCTCGAGGAGGAGGAGCAGGGCAAGCTCCACACGAAGAAGCGGCAGATCGAGGGCCTCAAGGAGACCATCGGCTTGGCGGGCGTCCTGGTCTTCAAGCAGATCGACACGGACAACTCGGGCAAGATCGACCGCGCGGAGCTCATGACCATGCTCAAGACGCTGCCCAAGCCGCCCGACGCGACGAAGACCGTCGAGGAGCTCGTGGCCGTGTTAGACGTCGACGGCGACGGCGTCATCGACATCGACGAGTGGGTCACGCAGCTCGAGCGGGTGCCCCTCCTGAAGAAGCTCCTCGACTCGTACGTCGACCCGGCGACGGGGCTCATCGACCCGAACCGGAACCCGGACCTCCCGCTCCCCGCGGCGGCGCCGGCGCCGGCGCCCTAGGACCCCCTCGCCCGGACAAAGACCCGCCCGCCCTCGCCGCGTACCATCCGCATACTAAGACCTGTGCTCGAATCCAGTACTACGTCGGCGCGTCCCCGCCCGCGAGCCAGGCGAGCGCGTTCGCGCGCGTCCGCTCGGCCGTCTCGACGACGCCCCAGCCCTTGGCCTCCGCGACGAGGCGCACGGCGAGGCACGTCGCCGCGCGGGCCGCCGCGGGGTCGTCGACGTCGCTCTCGACGAGGACGCGGTCGTCGGGCACGGCGGCGATGGCCGCGCGGAGCGCCGGCGCGCCGCGGGAGCCGTTCATGGCCACGTTGATCGTGTGGCTGAAGCCGAAGAAGACGGGGAACGCGCCGCCGACGAGCGCGAGGAGCTCGCCGACGTGGTGCGCCGTGCCGGAGAACGAGTGGAGCGCGACGCTCGGCCGTCCGGCGGCGGCCGCCGCCGCGAGCGCGTCCTTGAGCGGCGCGTGCTGCTTGACCGCGTGCACCGACGCGGGCCGGCGTAGGCGCGCCGCGAGCAGGAGCTGCCCGACGAAGAGCCGCCGCTGCGCCGCGAGGCCCGCGTCGCGCTCCGCCTTGGCGCCGCGGGCATTCTTCGCGCACTTGCAGAGGCCGACCTCGCCGACGATGGCGCCCGGGTGCTGCTCGAGGTGCCGCTCGAGGCGCGAGAGGTAGGCGTCGACGTCGTCGACGCGGTGCGCCTGCCACGGGTGCACGCCGAGGCCCGGCCGCAGCCGCGACGACGCGCCGCAGCGCTCGAGCACGCGCGGCCAGTCCGCCTCCTCGACGGCCTGCACGACGCCGTAGAAGTTGCGCCGCGCTCGCGCCGTCATCGCGTCCGCGAAGATGTGGTTGTGGCTGTCGAAGATCGTCGCGGCGGCCAGCGCGGCGTCCGGCTCCATCGGCAGCAGCACTTCGTCGCCGCCTTCGTCGTCGGATTGCAGCGGCGCGCAGCACCTGCATGCCATCACTGCGAAGGTCTTTTCTAGCGTGCACGCATCGCTTGGCACGGGCAGGCAGGCAGGCGTTGTCATTTTGTCAAGCGGCGCGGGCGCTGGTGTTGGTTGGTGTCGCGGCGCGCACTGCGAGGCTGGCCCATCACCTCGAGGCTGCGAGTTTGTCAGGTCGCATGCAGAGCTTGCCCATGTCGATGAGTGCATCGAGGGGAAAGCATTGGCCTCCGTATCTAGTGGCGCAACGAGGGCGCTGAACCCGCCGCCGCCGTCGTCGCGGCTCGACGGCCGCCCACGAGCGGCAGCCGACCTCCCGCGGATCCGCGAAGCGGTGGTCGAGGCGCAGAGGGACGCGCGGTGACAGCCCGCGCGAAACCGCGTCCGCAGCGGTGCCATTTGAGACGCGCGCGCCTCGGGGGCAGCCTCCGGGCCGCGAGAGGAGTCGCGGCGCAGCCCATCGCGGGGCTGCCGGGCGGGGCGCTGGGCCGCCGAGCTTTTGGGCTGCGGCGCGCCGCCCGTCTCGGCCGCGCGACGGACCGGCCGGTCGTCTCGGCCGCGCGACGGACCGTTCGATCATCCGCGACCCCCGACGCAGGCGGCGACCATCATGGCGGACGAGGACTTCCTCGACGAGGACGGGACGCTGACGGAGCTGCCGCTCTTCGCCAACGATGAGGCCAAGGCCATCTTCGCGGAGATCGCGAAGAAGCGCGAGCTGCTGGAGAAGGCCATCAAGGAGCACGGCGAGCACGACGAGCGCTACAAGGTCATGGTCGAGCACCTGAAGAACGTGCGCCAGGAGGTGTCGCACACGACGGGCCTCATGTCGGCCAAGGAGGCGGAGATCAAGTCGGAGCAGCACGGCGCCGAGCTCGCGAAGCGCGAGGCCGGCCGCTACCGCCAGGAGCTGCGCCGCGAGCAGGTCGAGGTCGAGGAGCACGATTCGATGCTCAACGCCCTCCAGAACCAGGTCTTCCAGGCCAACGAGAAGATGGACCAGTTCAAGCTCCAGATGAACTGGAACCAGGAGGAGCTCGAGCAGTGGGCCCTCGCCGCGAAGCAGAAGGAGGAGGACAACCTCGCGATCCAGCGGTACACGCGTGCCGACGAGGTCAAGATCAACGCCCTCTCGCTCCAGATCGAGAAGCTCACGAAGGTGGACCTGGCCCAGAAGGCCGCCGTCGAGGCGGAGATGACGGAGACGGCCGCGCGCCAGATCGAGCTCGACCGGACGGCGCAGGAGTTCCGGAGCCTCCACGCGGAGCGCCAGCAGCTCGTCAAGCAGTGGAAGGACGCCATCGAGGCGAGCGCGCGGCGCGACAAGGAGATCACGAAGACGGCCGCCGAGTACGTCGAGGAGCGCGCGAACAAGGAGGTCTTCGTCGACGAGATCCAGGCCGCGCGCGACAGGCTCAAGAAGGTCCGCGAGGAGTACGTGGAGATCCAGTCCAAGGTGAGCCTCATGGAGCGCCAGGTGCAGACGCGCCGCGAGGACCTCATGGCGGAGAAGACGAAGCTCCAGCGCCTCGAGGACGAGATCGACGTGCTCAAGAGCGAGCTCGCGTCGTCCGCGCGCGCGCTGCTGCGGAAGCGCCGGGAGAACGAGCGCGCGGCCGAGGAGGTCGTCGCGCGCCGCGCGCACCTCGAGCGGTGCCGCAAGCTCTACCACCAGTCGAAGCAGCGCCTCGAGGTCGGCGACCAGAACACGGCCAAGGTCGAGCAGTCCGCGCAGGAGGCCGAGGCCGAGCTGCGGGCCAACGAGGTGGAGCAGCAGAAGCAGGACCGCGCCCTCGCGGCGCTCAAGGAGTCCATGTTCAAGCAGTCCCAGGCCCTCTTCGCGCTCCGCCAGGAGGAGGCGAACTACATCGCGGAGATCTCGGGCGCGCAGGCGCAGGGCCGCAACCTCCAGTCCAAGATCCGCCAGCTCGACGGCGAGAGCGTGCGCCAGCAGGAGCTCATCTACAACGCGGAATTCCAGATCCAGCAGATGGAGCGCAAGGTCGCGCGGGGCCTCGGCGAGCGGAGCGACGACGAGAAGCGCGCGCTCAACGCGCAGATCGAGAAGCTCGAGGCCCAGCTCCAGGAGGCCCGCGACATGAAGAAGATGCTCACGTCCCAGGGCCGGCGCCTCAACAACGAGCTCCGCGCGGCCCAGCGCCGCGGCGAGCTCGCCGCGCAGCAGCAGGAGGAGCTCGAGGCGCGCATCACGGAGCTCGAGCTCGAGAACAACAGCGCGGAGCAGTCCCTCAAGGCCCAGCAGCAGCAGGAGGAGGAGGCCATGGTCCAGAACGACATCATGCGCCTCGAGCTCAAGCGCCTCCGCGACGCGCTGAGCCAGCGCGCGGACAAGGTCTTCACGCTCGAGAACCGGAAGCAGCAGCTCAAGCTGAGCATGCAGGAGCGCAAGAAGGAGATCGCCGTCCACAAGGAGGTGCAGGCCGCCCAGCTGCGCCACACCGAGGAGGAGCGCCACAAGGCCCAGATCGAGGTGGGCCAGCGCAAGCAGCAGGTCACGAAGCTCGCGGCCAAGTACGAGACGCTCTGCAAGTCGTCGCGGCTCCGGGGCACGGACGAGGACGACGGCGAGCCCAAGTCCCAGGCCTACTACCTGATCCAGGCCGCCCAGAAGCGCGAGGAGCTCCAGCGCGTCGGCGACGAGCTCGACCAGGAGATCCGGCGCCGCGAGCGCGAGATGCGCGCGCTCGAGGCGACGCTGAGCCACGTCAACAGCCGCAACAGCCAGTACCGCCAGTCCTTCCAGAAGGCGAACATGAAGTCCAACGAGGCCGAGGACATGAAGCAGCTCGAGGAGCAGGCCAAGCTCGCGCAGGACGCGCTCTTCCGCCGCAAGAAGGAGCTCCAGCGCCTCTCGACGGACTACGAGGAGGACGAGCGCCGCCTCCAGCAGGTCGACGCGCAGTGCGCGCGCCTCGAGGAGCGCAACGGCCACCTCGCCGAGGCCCACGCGCAGATGGAGGTCGAGCTCGGCGCGCAGGACGAGGCGCTCGAGAAGCACGAGAAGCGCCTCGCGCGCCTCTCGGCCATGCACCGGGACAAGATCTCCGCCTTCGACGAGACCGTCCAGGAGAAGTCCTTCCGCGCCAAGTCCCTCGCCGAGGCGACGACCTCCATCCTCCGCACGCTCGGCGAGCTCTCCAAGGCCTACCCGGAGCTCAAGGACGTCATGTCCAACATGCTCGCCGAGGCCGGCCTCGCGCCCGAGGTCAACTAAGCCCCGTTTTCCCTTCCACGCGTGGTGTTTGTCCAGAGGGCGGCGGCGATGCTTGCGAGGGCGTCCCTGGGAGGCCTCGAATCGGCTCGATCGCCGTCGGGCCCTGAGGTAAATTTCGCCCATCCCGGGTCATCATCGAGCGCCACCGGGCTCGACGCGGCGAAGCTCGGCTCCGTCGCCGACGGCCTCGCGCGGCGTGGTCCCGCCGCGTGCTCTGCGACGGCAACGACGCCCACCCCCTTGACCGCCTCAGGCGCTGTCGCCCGATGCCTTCGTCGATGCTCGCTCTGGAGCTGAGCGTGCCCTTCCTCGTGCCGACAGGCGTGGCGCCGGTCGCGCGCGTATGCCGCGCTCTCAGAGCGGCGGCTTCGAACAACGCGACATGGATCGAATATTTCGTGCGCCGCTACCCGTGCCTCGCGGAGCTGCCGGGGTTCGACAAGCCGGCGGACGCGCGCGACCTCGTCAAGTCGCTGGTGTCGAAGGAGGAATACGACTATGCCTCGAAGGGATACGACGGGTATACGCTACCCCCTGTCCAACGCGACGCGCAAGGTCGGGTGAGACCGTTGCGCTGCGACACATTTCTCGTGGTACAGGTCTTGCCTCGTGCGAACTGGCCAGCAGCGCAGAAGCCCATACTGAAATTCGTTGCTTCTTTCGAAAAACTCCTTGACAATATGCGAGATGATATTGGCGGAAATTGGATGTTTGATTTCGAATCTGAGCCCATATATCAGACAGATGCGTTCACGCAGATCGTTGACGCCTTGAACCTGCCTCACACGATCGAGGCACGCATCAACGAAGAAGATACGACTCCGCCAGCCGAGGAACTCATCGATGAATTCTTACGCAGTTTCGATGAAAATTTTCAGCACGAGATATTTGTTGTTCATGGCGATTCCATCCACCGGATAGACACTCCAGGTGGGACCTGCCGCGAGCACGATGAGTTACCCAGCGCAATGTACCACGATGATTTTATGATGGCCAATCTGCATCCGGAACAAGCGGAGTCTCCGTGGTTTCCTATTTTGGCGGAGTTCAACGAAGGCGAAGTCATGCTCTCAAGATTCTGGCTGGGTTCGTACGATTGTGAGACTTGGGACGCGACGCACGAAGGAAGCCAATCCTACAGCCTTAGCATCTATCATCAACCTTTCTTCGAAATCCTGTGTACTTGGGACGGCCTCATGCATGACCGCAAAGATGAGCTTGACGCTGACCGCGGCGAGCACAGCTGGCATTGGTTCTGCCAGTACCTCGCGTCGTCACGGCTCGTCAAGTTCCCTCGCGCCTCGGGACATAGTGCACCGTAAGTCTATTCGAGATCCCAGCGCATCTAGTGGAACTGTAGTTCATTCGACTGGTGCCGCCGGGCGAGCAAGCTCGAGAGTCTTAAGTACGTCACGCTACGTCCTCGTCGTCGCTCGTCTTGCGGGGGTCGCTGTCGTCGTCGTCGTCGTCGGACGCCGCGGCGCGCGCGCACTTTTCGCACCAGTCGCGGATGAGCGACGCGAGGAGGAGGTTGGGCACGACGACGGACGACGACACGGGGAGGCCCGACTTGGGGTCCGTCAGGGGCCCGCGGCGCGCGAACCAGGCCTCGATCGCGCGGCGCTCGTACGTGTTGCCGACGCTCTCGACGACGAGGACGGGGTCGCGCATGATGTCGTGCGTGATGGGGCACCGCCAGGCGCCCGGGCAGCGCTCGCTGCAGGCGTCGCGGCGGTCGCGGCCGAGCTCGCGCCACCAGCGCGGGTCCTCGGCGGCGGCCGCGCGCCCCCGGCGGCTCGCGCGCTGGCGCGCCGTGAGCTCCGCCGTCGGCCCGTGGCGCTCCAACGCATCCAGGAGCGCCGCGGCCCCGAGCGCGTCGTCCGTGCGCGCGTCGGCGTCGCTGTCGTCGTCGTCGCCGTCCGCGGGCGCGTCGTCGTCGTCGCGCTCGCGCGCCTCGTCGATGAGCTGGTCGCGGAGCGCGTCGAGCGCGCGCGCGGCGGCCTCGACGGCGTCGCCGTCGAGGAACGCCGGCGGCCGCCGCGGCGGCGCGCAGGCCTCGAGGCAGTGCTTGAGGAACTTGCGCGAGCAGAACGCGTCGACGTGCGTCACGCGCGGCCGCTTGCCCGTCGCGAAGACGCAGACCTCCTCGAGCACGGACGCGCCGAAGCGCAGGCGCGGCGGCGGCAGGCGCACGGCGGCGTCGACGGCGCCGAGCCACCGCGCCGCGCCCGCGCGCACGGCGTCGTCGCGGAGCGCCGCGTCGTCGCGGTCCCGGACGCGGCCGCGGCCGTCGACGGCGTCGTCGAGCTGCACGAGCTCCGCGAGCGCGTCGAGGGCCATGGCCGGCGCCGTCGCGAGCATGTCCACCAACCCGCGCGCGATGGCGTCGCGCTCCGCCTCGTCGAACTGGCACCGGGGCCCCGCGATGCGCGCGGCGAGCCACGGGTGGCGCCGCGCCTTGACGAAGAGCGACGCGACGGCCTCGCGCGAGTCGCCGCGGCCCCGGGCCATGTGGCCCGCGGCGCGCTTCAGGAGGCCCCGCTTCACCAAGGTCCGCGTCCACTCGCCCGAGCCCTGGTCGAGGTCGTCGAAGATCTGCTGCTTCGTCTCGACGTGCGCGTCCCACTTCGACGCGTCCCCCAGAGTCACGGGCGCGCTCGCGGACCGGAGCGCGTGCTCCGTGAACTCGGCCGCGGCGCCGCCGTCGACGGCGCTGACCTGGACCCAGGGCATCTGGAGCCAGCCGCCGCCGGAGTGCGCCTCCCAGAGCCCGGACGACGCCGTCGGCCGCCACCGGCTCGCGCCGTCCGACGACCGGAGGCCGTACGCGGGCTCGCCCGTCGGCCGCACGACCCAGCGCGAGCCCTCGTAGAAGAGCTCGAAGGACGTGCGCGCGCTCCGGTAGCGCCGGCCGTCGGCGCCGAGGTGCCAGAAGTTCTGCGCGCGCCAGGGGCCCAGGTGCTCGGGCGAGTCCGCGGGCCGCCAGCCCGCCGCGTCCCAGCCGAAGTCGCAGCGGAGCGTCGCCGGCAAGAGCAGCTTCGAGAGGAGCGCGTCGACGAACGGGAGCTTCGATATCAGCGTTTCGGTTACGTGGCGGAGCTTGCGCCGGTCGAAATTTTTTATGAGCGGCAGCTGGAGCAGGATGATTAAGAGGATGGACACGGACTGGAACGTCGACACCCTCGAGACGACGATGCCGATGATGACTCCGAGGGCCGAGTGAAGGTACGGGTTTTGTGGGTCCATCTGAAGGTCGACAAGGACGACGACGGCGGCGCGGAGTCCGAGGAGTCCGAGGAGGCGAAGAAGAGCTAGGTCGGCGACCACGTCGACTCCCAATCGCGTCGCGCTCACTCCATCTCCGCCTAGCTCTAGGTAGAGAGCGGCCCGCTGAGCTTTTGCCACAGCGCGATGTTGCACAGATGTTGCACCGTAGTTTTGGCCGCAAGCCAATTGCGCAAGCAGTGCTTTCCTCCAATCGAGTTGGCCGACTCGCGCTCACTCTTTCTCGCGCGGTCGTCGCGTCCGTCTCGCGTCGACGTCGCTCCCGACGTCGCGCCCGGCTAGTCCGTGATGATGTCAAGCGGGATGCGCTCTTCCGAGCACGTGCGTACACCGGCGTCCGACGGTTGAAATCATTCGGCATCGCACTACGAAAGCGGCGCGCGCGTCGAGGCCGCGACGACGCGCGCGCCTCGAAACGATTCTCGGTCATCGCGCTGCGCATAACGCGGCGCGCGCGCGTCGCGTCTCGGGCCCCGACCGGCGGCGGCGGCGCGCGCGCCTCGGAACGCGCCGCACGCCGAAAAACCGCCGGCGAACACACCGCGACGCTCGCGCAGGTCCTGACGATCAGCGTCTCGGACCCCAAAAAAGAATCTGAGGGCATCAACTCCTACATCTCGTACAAGGTGAACACGCAGACGAACCTTCCCGAGTTTCAATACGGCCAGTTCAGCGTGATCCGCCGCTACAGCGACTTCGTGTGGCTGCACGACATGCTCCAGAAGGACGTGCCCGGGTCCATCGTGCCGCCGCTGCCCGAGAAGGCCGTCGTCGGCCGCTTCAGCGCCGACTTTGTGGAGTCGCGGCGCCGGCTGCTCGAGAAGTTTTGCGTGCGGCTCGCGGCGCACGAGGAGCTCAGCGACAGCAAGTACTTCAAGCTCTTCCTGCAAGCGGACGACGCGGGCCTGAGCGTCGCCAAGGCGGAGCAGAAGCTCGCGGAGAAGGCGGAGACGAAGAAGAACGCGCGGCCCGGCGGCGGCTCCTTCGCGAACATGAGCGCGTGGTTCGAGGACACGGTCAACAGCGTGTCGCTGTCCATGGCCGCGAACGCCGAGGCCAAGGAGAAGTCGCCGGCCGACGAGAAGATCGAGGAGGTCAAGGCCTACATCCACAGCCTCGAGGTCCAGATGGGCAACGTCGCCAAGCACACGTCGGGCCTCATGAACCGGAACCGCGAGCTGTCGACGGGCCTCTTCGAGTTCGGCCTCGCGTTCACGCTGCTGGGCCAGACGGAGACGGACCCGCTGTCGACGGCGCTGACGAAGCTGGGCCACACGGCGGACCAGCTCAGCCTGCTCGTCACGGAGCAGACGGCCAAGGAGACGTGCAACTTCGAGGAGCCCATGTACGACTACATCCGCGTGCTCGGCGCCGTCAAGCTCGCGCTCGGCGCGCGCGCGAAGCACAAGCACGCGCTGGCCATCGCCGTCGCGGACCTCGAGCAGAAGAAGGCCCTGTCGGCGAAGCTCGCGGGCCAGCCGGGCAAGGAGGACAAGGCCGCGCTCGCGGAGCACGCGATCGACAAGGCCGCCGGCGACGTCCAGGCCGCGCGCGACGCCTTCGAGCAGGTCTCGGCGCGCGTCATCCGCGAGATGGAGCGCTTCAAGCGCGAGAAGGCCGCGGACATGCGCAAGGTCGTCCTCGACTACACGACGATGCAGATCGAGTACAACAAGCGCGTCGAGCAGCAGTGGGAGGCGCTCCTCCCCGAGCTCGACGCCATCCCCGACGGGCCCGACGCCTACGAGTACAACTCGCCGCCGCCGCTCCCGCCGCCGCCCGTGCCGCCGCCGAACCCGCCGCCCGTGCCCGCGCACGACGACAGCCCCGACCTCGTCGGCGTCTGAAGGCCTCGCGCATCTAGTTCCCGCGTCCCGCGCGCGCGCGTCCCGGCTCTTAGAGTCCGCCGGGCCATGTTCATCGAAGTGCCCCGGCTCTTAGAGTCCGCCCCCGGGGGGGCAATGTTCGCTCGGCACGAGTAGACCATGCCGGGCCGGCGCCTGAGGTCACAACTTGCCCCAGGCGAGGGGCAGGAGATTCCGCAGGGGAGGGGCGTGGTCTACTCAGGTCCGAATGTTCGCAGCGGTCTATGTCTCTACGACGCTAGACCCGCCGCTACTCCTGGTCGACGTCGTCGACGGCCGCGGCGCCGCCGACGTCCGCGGGCCCGCCGGGGACGATTTTGCCCTCGGAGTCGTATCGCGCGTTGCGCTCCTTCCAGAGCTCCGACGGCTGGTCCCACTGGGGCACGGCGGTCATGAGGTAGTTGGAGAGGCGGCAGATCTGGAGGTCGTTGCTGAAGCGGCCCTCGCTGCTGATGCCGCTCGGCGCGACGAACTCCTCGGGGCTCTTGTACTGGAGGCAGAGCTCCGTGCCCGGGTCGATGTTGAAGATCTCCGACTCCTGCACGGCGTTGACGCCCTCGTCGTAGAAGGACTCGATGTTGACGAAGCGGTTCGCGTCCGTCGCGTACTTGGCCGTCTCGGCCGTCGCGAGCGGCTTGAGGATGAACTCGCGCGGGTCGTCGTCCGTGCCGACCTCGAGGCGCACCGTGATGCGGTAGACGCCGGACTTGTGGATCGTCACGCGCTCCTTGTCCTCGGAGAGCGACACGAAGTTCTCGACGTTGGCGTGCGGCGTCCGGAGGCTGTCCTCCGTCCACTTGAGGTACTGGCCCGACGTGTAGGGCCCGAGCTTGCCGACCTCGTAGACGGCGGCGTCGAGGTGCGCCCGCGGCGCCTTGGCGGCGATCTCCTCGTCGGTCAGAGGCATCGTCTAATCTTCGGAAGCGCGCCCTATTGCGCAGGGCTACTCGCGCAGCAGCACCGGCCTGTCTGCTTCACATTGAGCGGACGGGAAACGCCGCGCAGGCTGGGCTGCTCGATCCGAGCCTGTCGCAGCACGGCCATGTCGCCCGGCTTGGAAGCGCAGCGGTCGATCGTCGCGCTCCGCGACTACAAGGAAAAGTTCGATCTCGACGCCGTGCTTGCCGAGGCCGTCTCCGTCGCCGTGCGCGCGGGCGCGACGAACCCCTACGAGGCCATCGCCGGCTTCCTGCGGGACGTGAAGCTCCCGGAGAAGGCCGCGGGCGACGCGACCAGCGACGCGATGAACGACGCGATGCACGCCATGGGCGTGCTGAAGCACGACCCGCCGCACTTTTCGCACTTCGACCCCGCCGAGGCCGAGCAGAAGCCCGTGATCATCAAGGAGGTCAAGCTCCCCCACGCGACGGAGACGCACGAGGTCTGCTACGAGCCCGTGAGCCGCTGCGTCTTCGTGTCGCAGATGTCCAACTCCGTGCTCGTGCGCATCCCCGTGTCGTCGACGAACGGGCTCCTCGTCGACGACCAGGACGCGTGGCTCGTCGGCGCGGCCAACGCCGCGGGCGACGGCGTCGAGGGCCTGCACAACCTGAGCCTGAGCTACCGCCACCCGGGCTGCCTCTGGGTGTCGCTCCAGTTCTCGAACACGCTCCTGCTCCTCGAGGGCGCGACGATGCGCGTGCGCGAGGTCATCCGCGTGCCGACGCTGCTCGAGGTCCCCGGCGAGGCGCCGCGGCGCGTCGGCGGGCCCCACGCGATCCGCGAGTGCCCGAAGAGCGGCGACATCTGGGTCGCGCTCAAGGGCGCCGTGTCGTGCCACCCGACGGCGCCGCGGCCGGGCGACGCGGCGAACGCGGGCGCGAGGCGGCTGCGCGACGCCGTCGAGCGCACGTGCTGCAGCGCCGCGTCGCTCGCGTCCTACATGGAGGCCTGCGACGCCATGGGCTACGACTGCCCGCCGCCGGACGACTTCGCGGTCTGGCGCCTCGCGCCGGGCGCGTACCGCGCGGACGAGAAGGACCGCGGCGGCACGCTCTACCGGTGCCGCGGCAGCCCGCCCATGGTCGCCATCGACTGGCAGGGCAACTGCTGGTGCCCCCAGGACCAGAACCCGTCCATCATGCGCGTCGACGCCGCGACGGGCGCGTGCGCGCAGATCCCCGTGACGTTCCCCGAGGGCGCGTCGCTGAAGATCACGGGCCCGGCCATCGGCGTCGCGCCCGACGGCGACGTCTGGTGCACGCTCCTCGGCAGCCACAACGCGCTCATGCGCATCTGCCCGACGACGAACCGCTCGGCGATCTACCAGCTCGGCGGGCCCGAGTGGGCCAAGGTGCTCCGCCTCATCCACCTCGACTTCGCCGTCGTCGACGGCCGGCGGACCATGTACCTCCTCGCGAGCGACCTCCTCGACGAGGACGGCGTCAACGCCGTCGTCATCGTCCAGTTCGACGACAAGTGGAAGAAGATCGTCGGCCGCCGCGTCGTGCCGCTCCCGACCCAGGACTGCTCCTGCCACCGCGTCGCCGTCGTCCAGGAGGGCCTCCGGCCCCAGGACGCGTCCATCATCGTCTCCGAGATGGCCTCCTCGAAGATCCTCCAGCTCAAGGTCCAGAACTGCTTCTTCACGACGCCCGTCCGGGAGATCGTCGGCACGCTCGGCGACCACGACCGGTACACCTACGAGGACCTCGACGAGGCCGCCGGCGCGCGGTCGTGAGGCGTAAGTGTGTGTGCTAGTACCAGACACGTGCACGTTTAAAAACGCTTCAATTACAGTTCAACATGACTCATTGAAGCAACGCCGCATTTTCATGCAGCATGGGCTGCTCCTCTTGCATGCAGTCGCCGCGTCGAGCGCGCTCACCGTGCGCGAAAGCGGCGAGCGCGTCGTCTACAACGCGCTCTGCCGGCGCTACGAGCGCGCGGCGCCGATCGTGCGGCGCGGCGGCCTCGCGTCCGACGAGGTCGCCATCTTCGTGTCCGTGGCGAGCCTGCCGCGCTACTGCCACGGGCGGCTCGACTGGGCCGCGTCGTTCCCGTCGGCCTACGCCGTCGTCGGCGGCAACGGCACGCACGAGCTGGCGCACGTCCAGAGCGAGTGCACGCTCCTCGACGCGCAGCGGGCGCCCGCGGCGCGCAAGGGCGTCAAGGGCCCGCACCGCTGGCGCATGATGCGCTGCGGCCCGGAGGGCGTCGCGCCCGTGTTGCTGGCCATGCCCTGCCGCGGCGTCGCGCGCTGCTGCCTCGAGAACGCGGCCGCGCGCGCGTTCCTCGACCGCGCCGCGACGACCTTTCGGAAGGCCCGCTGGTCCGTCTTCGTCACGGCCGACGACCTCTACGTGCGCGCGGCGTCCCTGCTGGCGCCGCTCTCGCTGCTGGACCCCGCGACGCCGCGGAACGTGTTCGTCCCGGAGGAGGAGGCGTCGACGAGCGGCGGAGCGGAGGATGCTATCGGCGGAGCGGACCCGTGCGTCTCGGGCGCGTCCCTCCTGAAGCGGCCTCACGCAGTCTCCGGCTTAAGTCGCAAGGCCCTCGAAGCCTCGGCGGCCACCGTCCAGGCCGACGGCTTCGCGCGACAGTGCGGCGCGCTCGACGTCGCGGACGCGGCGTCGGGCTTCGCGGCGTTCTCCTGGTCGCTCGGCCTCGCCTGGACGGCGCTGCCCCCCGTCGTGACTCCCAATATCGGGAAGACGCGCGGCGCGACGGAGGTCCAGCTCGTCGAGCGCCTCAAGCAGCAGAACTACTCCGCGCGCTTCGTCTTCCGCCGCGCGGCGCCCGCGGTCGCGCCGCTCCTCCGCCAGCTCGACGACGACGCGGGCCTCTGCGTCGAGAGCCACCCGGCGTGCGCGAAGCCCGGGAAGCCCTGGGCGCCCGTGGGCTCGCCCTGCGTCGACGCCGTCGTCGAGGCCGGCGCGTGCGCGCCCGCGACCGCGTGCCCCCGCCGCGTCGTCGCGCTTCGCCGGCCACCCTAAGCACGTGTTACGGCGGGAGCAGGGGCGTCGCCTCCGTCGGCTCGTGCTTGTCGTGATGTCGCCAGTCGCCGCGGATCATCGCGTCGACGAAGGGCCGCGCGACGCGGTAGGAGACGACGGACTCGCCGACGACGAGCGCGAAGAGCGCGAAGAACCAGGCCGTCTTCGCGTGGATGTCGACGGTGAGCGAGTCCTCGAGAGATACGGGAAGTTGCTGGTTGGTGAACTCGTACAGCATGGACCGCAGGTCGACGATGGTCACGCCGAGCGCCAGCAGGAACGCGTCCGCGGCGACGAAGATCGAGACGACGTCGACGACGCCGCGCAGCACGACGCGCGCGACGCGCGACGGCACGACGCAGGCCGCGCCGAGGCACGCGACGCGCGCGAGGGGCGCCACGACGACGAAGAAGTGCGCCAGCTGGAACAGGAACGTGCTGCTCGGCCGCTTCGGGGGCACGCCGTCGAACGTCCGGTCGACCTAAAGAAACCAATCACACGCGACACATGACACATGAATGGGCGCCGCAGTCGCGCCGCCGCGATGATGTCCCAGGTGCTAAAGTCGTGGTCGTTGTGCTTGTCGAAGTGCAGCAGGATCTGGTCCTTGAGCTCGGGCGGCAGCCAGTCGTAGTCGTAGACGTCGCGGAGGCGGACGTTGACGTCGGACCGGAAGGAGTAGGACATGATCGTCGGCGCCGCGCTCAGGCGCAGGGAATAGCCCAACGCCGCGAAGCCCAGGCCCGCGACGGCGAGGACGAAGACCGTGCGCGCGACGTCGAGCTCGCCGTCGTCGTCGTCGTCGACGAAGCTCACGCAGGGGTGGGGGTCGCGAATCGCCGTCTTCGTCTTTTTCGGGATGAACTGTCCGTCGTCGTCGTCGGACGCGTCGTCCTCGAGGAAGGCCGGGTCGTCTTCGATCTCGCACTCGTCGCCCGTCGCGCACGCCTCCAGGACGACGAGCACGCCGTGCGTCAGCGCCTGGCCGACGATGACCGTGAGGCAGTAGGCGAGCACGCCCCGCGCGGGCCGGCCCGCGAAGTTTAGCGAAAAGTGCATCTCCGGCGTCGACTCGTAGACGAAGGGCTTCACCTCGACGCGGCCCGCGAAGCGGCCGACGGCGACGAAGATGATGATGCAGGCCACGTCCACAAAGGCCGCGCGGCCGAGGAACGTGAGCGCGTGGAACCGCTTGTCGAAGGTCCGGTAGAGCCGCGCCCGGACGACGAGCGCCGCGACGAGCAGCAGCTTCACGTGGGGCCAGACGCAGCTCAGGGCGTACATGAGCGCGCCGAGCGCCCGGCCGCCGTGCTTCCAGAGCTGGCACGACAGCTTCCAGACGCCGTACTTGCGGACGAGCACGTAGGACCCGCCGCCGACGGTCTGGCCGAGGTCCGTGATCGTCCAGGCCACGTCGAGCTTGATCTGAAAGTTCGGCATCTTTTGTACGTGGAAGGTCCAGACCGACGTCGCGACGAGCAGCAGCAGCGTCGCGACCGTCGCGCCGACCTCGAGGCCGCCCTGCTTCGGGGCGCGCACCTTCTCCCCCATGGGCGTCATCATCGTTTCGTCGTTCGGGCGGCCTCACCACGAGGGCTGCGTTTTTGCGCCACGTGCGGCGGCAAGGGCCTGGGCGTACGCCGGCAGAGCTTGCCTCACTCAGCGGCAGGGCCTCGGCCACGCTCCGCGGCGCGCACCATCGGCTGCCCCGCGCTTGAGAATGGTCTGATGTCACGGGCTTCCTCCTTGAAAAGTTCAGCTTTGTTCAGTAATTTCGGAGCCGGCTTGCTTGCCCCACATTGCACTCTCCGGGCTGCCGCCGACGCCGCCGCGCGTCGTCGGGCCGCGCGCGCTCGCGTCGGCGATGGACTACCGCCAGCCACCCTCGCAAACTCCCGGCCCGCCGGTAGGCCTCACGCTCTGCGTGGTCTTTGCTATCGCCTACGCGATCACGAGTGCGTTTGCCGGGCTGCAGCTCATCAGACTAAATGGCCGCGGCGCTCCGTGGACCACCCAAAAAGTGCTCCATGTGCTCGTCGTGCTGGCGACGTGCGTGCGCGCGACGTTCTTCTGCCTGTCGATGAAGACCTGGGGCTGGACGTCCGGGGACCTCAGCGCCGCGGAGCCGATGGCGCGCATGGCGTTCTACGTCTGCGACGAGCTGCCGACGATGGTCTTCTTCACGGTCTACACGGCCGTGACGCTCTTCTGGGCGGAGATGTACTACATCGCCTCGGACGCGGCGCGCATCTACGAGGACACGGTCCAGCCCGTGGACAGCGTCGTCAACACGGCCGCGTACGTGTTCCTCGTGGGCCTCTGGCTGCTCTTCGCGACGCGCTGGGCCGACTACGTCTACTACGTGAACCGCGCCTACGCCATCTTCGTCTCCGTGCTCTACGTCTGCACGGCCGCGCTCCTCTTCGCCTTCGGGCGGTCCGCGGCGAAGGAGCTCCACCAGGTGCCCATCGAGCTCCAGATGCGCCGCAAGAAGCTGCGCGAGGTGTCCGTGATGACGACGGCCATCACGGCGTCCATGGTCGGCCGCGCGCTCGTCCTGGTCGCCTTCGCGGACCAGCCCCTGCCCGTGAACAGCCTCTTCGCCGTCTTCCTCGCGTCCGTCTACTTCGGCGCGCTCGAGCTGCTCCCCGTCGTCCTCGTGCTCTACTACTACCGCCGCATGCCCCAGCCGGCGAACCGCAAGCTCCTCGCCGAGGAGCAGGGCATGCTCTTCTCCGCGCGGCCCGCGCAGAGCGCCGGGGGGCAGGCGCACCACGACGCCGCGCACGACGCGATCCGCCGCCTCTCGGAGCTCCGCTTCGAGCAGACGGACTTGTGACGATCCTCCCGGATGCTAATCGTCGCCCCTTCTTCGCGCGCGCGCGTTAGTCCCCCCGGGAACGCGCCTAGATGCGCTCGGGGAACCGCGGGCCCTCCCATCGCGGGGGCGGCTTCCAGTCCTCGGGCTTCATGACGAGGCACTTCTTCACCTCGCCGCGCTTGAACTGGTCCCAGTCCCGGTCCGTGACGACGAGCAGCATCTCCATGATTCGGTGCAGCTCGGGCACCGTCGTGCCGCGCTTGTTGCACAGCGCCTGCGCCATCGTCGTCAGGTCCTTGGACTCCTCCGAGACCTCGTACATGTAGTCCGCGACGGGCTTCTTCCACTCCTCCTTGAGCGCCTTCTTCAGCTTCTCGATGTCGCACTTCTCCGGGTTATTCCTCAGCTCGACCGTCACGTACTCGAGCTTGAAGTAGTAGGCCGCGATCCACTGCTCGAGGCCCTCGGGGGCGTCGGGATCGCCCGTCGGCTGCTGCGGCATCTGGTACTCGCTCATCGTGATCGAGCCAGGCCCTCGTTCCACCTCGTTTCCGATGCCCGCCAGAGGCCACCCCTTCAACTGGGCTGCTCCAAAACGACGAAGGCAAAGATGAACCACATCCGGAGCGACGGCGTGCAAGTGCCGGCCGCCGCCGCCCAGCTCGTTCCGGCCGCCGCCGGCGGCGTCGAACATGCCTGCGTCGGCGGAACGAGCCCCCGCACGCGCGCGACGACGACGACACGACTCCTGCGCGCCGCGCGCGGCTGAAAAGCGACGAAAAGGCGGAGAACTGTTAACGGCGGCGCGCGCCCGCGCGAGCACGAGCGCAAAGCGCCTCGTCGCGCTCATCGCGTTCTCCACTCTCCACGCGAGCCACGCCTCGAACCCCAAGGGCAACGAGGCGCTCTCGACGTTCCTGCACGCGGCCGCGCCGACGATCGACGCGATGAAGCAGGCGCCCGCGGAAGAGGAGCTCGCGCCGCGGTCCGCGGCGGACGCGAAGAAGCAGCTCGAGGAGTACCCCTGGGTGCGCGCCGCGGCGGACCTCAACGAGGCGACGGATTACCACGCCGCGCTCCAGGAGATCGCGAAGCAGGAGCGCGCCGCGCGGACCGAGCGCGCGCCGCCGGCCAAATCCGTCGCGCCCGAGGCGCCGTCCGCCGCGCCGCCGGCCAAATCCGTCGCGCCCAAGGCGGCGACGTCCTTCGCGCCCAAGGCGCGGGCGACGCCCCACGCGGCGCCGCCGCTCCACGCGCGCGCGCGGCCCGCGCCGACCGCGGCGCCGCCGCGCGACGCGCCCCCCCGGACCGCGGCGCCGCCCCCGGCCGTACCTCACGGAAGCTCCGACGCGCCCCCTCGGACGACGCCGCCGCCGCCGGACGCGTCGGAGGCCGTCGCCGCGCACGTCGCCAAGGTCTGCTCGACGCTCGGGGGCGCCGTGCCCGAGGGGACGACGTGGCCCGCGCGGCGCGACGTCTACGCCGACCGGGAGGTCGCGCTCTCGCCCGCCGACCAGGAGATCGCGCGGCCGCGCTTCTTCGACACGGCGGGGCTCATGGGCGCGGCCTACCGCGTCGGCGCGTGCGTCTTCGCGTGCTGCGTGCTGGCCTTCTTCTCCGTCGCGTCGCCGGCGTCGCGGTCGAACCAGGAGTACAACCTGGCCTACAAGCTCACGCTCCAGCGCGTCTTCGCGTCCTTCGCGCCGCCCGTCGTGCTCTTCCTCCTCGTCTTCGACGCGCGGCACGCGACGTGCATCGACGCGGCCAAGGCCTTCTTCAGCGCCTTCGGGGCGGGCTTCGTCGCGTGCGTCGGCGCGGAGCTGCTCGCGTCGACCTTCATCTGGAACCAGGCGCTGGAGGCCCTCGAGCCCGAGGCGCTCCGGCTCGTCCGGGGCCTCGACGACTGCCCGCTCCGGTTCCCGACGGTGCTCCGGGACCACCGCATCCCCATCCAGCGGCGCACGCAGCTCCTCGCGGAGCTCGTCGTCTCCTGCGTCGCCGCGCCCATCCTCGAGGAGGCCGCGAAGCTCTGGGCCGCGCGCCGCGCGGCGGCGCTCCGCGACGCCGCGCCGGCCGCGCGGCGCGCGCTCTACCGGCGGCGGCGCCGCGCGGCCGCGGCGAACGCGCGGGCCCTGAGGCCGCAGCGCCGGCGCCTCTTCGCGCCCTGGCGCCGGGCGCCGGCGCCGCCGGCGCTCGAGGTCGAGGCGCCGCCGCCGACGCCCCACGTGCACACGTACCTCACGCACTGCCTCGCGTCGGCCATCGGCTTCAAGATGGCCGACGCGACGCGGCGCATCTGCCTGTACAACCGGCCCTGGCACCCGCAGAAGATGTTCTTCGCCGTCGTGCGCGGCGCGCTGCCCATCCACGAGCTCTGCGCGGCGCTGACGGCGTCGCGGCTCGCGCGGCGCGACGCGGCCGTCGCGGAGCGGCTCCGCGACCCGATCGCGCCGCGGCGGTCGCGGCCCCGCGTCCTCGGGCCGCTGGCCGTCGTGCTGCCCGCGGCGCTGCTCCACGCGTCGGCGAACTTCCGCGGCGCGAAGCCCGTCTACAAGTGGGAGTCGAACCAGCCGTGGGTCGAGCTCCAGCTCCAGGCCTGGAACCAGCCCGACGACGCCGCGCCGGCCCAGCTCCTGTCCAAGTCCGTCGCGTCCTTCATGTGGTGGGGCCTGCTGCTCCGCATCTTCGCCTACGCGTGCCACGAGTACTTCCGCGCGTCCGCGCTCGCGGCGAAGCATCGGCGGCCCCCGCGCGTCCGGTCGCCGCCCAAGGCGCCGCCTTTTTAGAACCTGTTGTTGTTGTTGTTACGACCCGAAGCGCACCTCGCGGCCGCGCCAGGACCACGCGCCGGAGGAGCTCCGGATCCATTTGTCGTCGTCGTCGGGGTCCTCGGCGTTGCGCTCCGCGAAGCTCGCCGCGTCGGCCTCGGCCGCGGCGAAGCGGGCCATCATGCCCGCGTCCTCGGCGACGGTCGTCGACCCGGCGAGGAGCGGCGCGTCGGGGTCCCGGGGCTCGGGCTCCGGCGGGTCCTTGAGGACGTCGTCGGACGCGAACCTGCAGCGCTCGAGCTCGTCGCGCAGGACGTTCTCGCCGCCGTGGTTCCGCGCGTGCTCCTTGACGCGGCCGTAGGCCTCGCGGGACTCGCGCGTCGCCGCGAGGAACCCGGGCACGGACCCGAGCGGCCGCGCGAGGCTCGCGGTCCGGTACTCGCCCGCGTACGACGACGGCGCCGTCGCCAGCGTCGAGCCCGGCAGGGGGCCGCCCATGGCCAGCGCCGCGGACCGCCCGCGCCGGAAGGGCGCGTCGCCGTGGTACGGCGCGGACAGCGAGTACGCGGGCCCGCCGCTCTCCTCGTCGCCGAAGCTCCGCGCGGTCCGCTCGAGGTCGCCGGCCCAGCCCGCCATGCGAATCAAATCGATGTCCGACGTGCCCTCGAGGTGCGCCCGGCGCTCCTCGAGCGTGAGCTCGCCGAGCCGCTTCGCGCGGTCCTCGTCGACGACGCCCATGGATTCGATGGCCACCTTCTTGCCGTGGTCGAGGTCGCCCCAGGACTTGACGCCGAGCTTCTCCATGAGCGACATGTGCAGGATGGACTGCCGCGCGCGCACCCATTTGTCCGCCATGGTTGCCAAGTTTTTGCGCCGGGCTGGTGGGCTGCCTATTGATGATCGTCCATGCTGACGGCTAACTGCGCTTCAAGTTTGGGTAAATGTGGCTTATGAGGCAAAGGTGCCGCCTCAGCATGGCTCGGGTCTCAGTCGCATGAACGAAAATCTCAGCGCCTAAATACGCGGAAGAGCAACCAGCCACAGCATAAACACACGCGATGGCCGCGTTCTCCGACACCTCGTTCACGCTCGAAGACGCGGTTCGCGGGAAGTCGTTCCGCCAGCGCCTCGAGTTTGTGCCCGCGTCGCGCCTGCTCAAGTCGAGATTCGGCCGCCTGCCTCTTTTCAACAGCATTCGGCCCTCGGACCTGAGCCAGGGCCGCGTCGGCGACTGCTGGCTTATCGCGGCGATTTCGTGCCTCGCGGAGTATCCGGAAGAAGTCGAATCACTCTTCGTGGGTCACTCAACGGCGGCCGCGGCGGCTGATGGCCGCTACGTCGTCCGGCTGTATGATACGACACGGCGCGCGTCGCGCGACATCGTGCTTGACGAATGCGTGCCGTGTACTGGGCCGCGCGCGGAATTCGTCGATTCTGTTCCTCGAGGCACGGCTTCGCAGGTACCGCCATCGACGCGCGCGAGCGGCCGCCCAAGGGCTTCGAGGGCTTCCGCTACAAGCCCATCTTTGGAAAGCCGGAAACGGACATCTGGGCGCTGCTCATCGAAAAGGCGTTCGCGAAGATGATCGGTAGCTATCCGCGCCTCGACGGCGGCCACATGCTGAACGCGTTCCGCGCGCTGACGGGCTGCGAGGAGCAGGAGATGTGGCGCCCGTACGACGTGGGCGGCTCGCGCGAGTGGCGCAACAGCCTGGTCGTGCGCGGCGACCTGCACGCGCGCGCCCATCGAGGGTCCGCGCGGCTGCAGTCGCCGGCCTTCTTCGGCGCGCTCGAGTCCTGGTCGAGCAGCAAGTACCTGATCGCCGCGTCGATCCGCGGCCGCCGGCGCGAAGGGCGGCGGCGCGACGGCCTCGTCGAGACGCACGCGTACGGCGTTCTGGCGTGCATGCAGGTCGGCCACGTGGCGCGTTGCGGCGTCCGCCCTCCCTCGGCGCGCGCCGAGGACGCCACCGCAGGCGCTCGTGCAGCTGCGGAACCCCTGGGGCGACCACGAGTGGAAGGGCTCCTGGTCCAAGGGCTCCAAGGAGTGGTCGAAGCACCCCGCGGTGGCCGAGGCGCTCGGCATGAAGAACAAGCGCACGGACGGGACGTTTTACATGTCCTTTTCGGATTTTGACGCCGCGGCCTGTGCGGTTATTCTATTTGTCGGCTGTCTCGCGCGCGCTCTAGACGATTCATTTCGACCTTTGATTTCCGCGCAGGCTATCTTCACCTGCGTGGAGGTGTCGCACAAGGCGATGCGGACGGGCGCGGGGCGCACGAACCCGAACCGGCGCGACCCGGGCCGGCGCCTCGGCGGCGGCGAGAAGCGGCCGCGCGATTCCGAGCGGCAGCCGCAGCCGAGCCAGGGCGTCGTCTGGGAGTGCCGAGCTGCGCGGAGGCTCTACTCCCTCGACGCGCGTCGAGGAACGGCTCTTTTTAGGTACGAGGACGACGACGGCTGGAAGCGGTACGCGGCCGAGCACGCGGAGACGCTCCACGTGGCCGCCAGCGTGTCTCCGACGGTCACGCTCTCGATTCGCGGCTCGCTCTACGACGTGGACCTGGAACGCATGACCCAGAAGAAGCGCGCGACGGGCTTCACGCGGAAGATCCGGAAGCGCGAGCTCCCTTCTCCGAAGAAGCCGCGCCACTAGATGCGTAAGCCTGTTGATTGAAATAGGCACCCGTCCTATCTACCCTCTGCGCAACCTCTGGCCGTCGCGTCTTCAACTCTTCGTTGGACTCCATGTTGTAGTGCTCCGTGCAGTCCTGAGAGTACCATTATGGCGACCTCTCGCGCGCCGCTACGGCAGCAGACTCCACGACAATAGCAACACCCAATGGCTCTAAACCACGGCCCGGTCACCGCGCTCGCGCTCACAGAAACCCAGCTCTTCGCGGCGAGAAATGGCATCGTGAGCTGCTACGACCTCGCCACCGGCGCCCTCATCACAGCGCGACGCCTGCTGTCGCGGCGCATCCATGCGCTCGTCATCGACGACGCGCGCATCGGCGCCGTGGGCGCGCGATGCGTCGGCGTCCGCGACGGCGACGCGACGAGCGAGCGGCCGGTCGAGACGCAGGCGCTCGACGCCGCGTTCGACGGCGGCGAGCTCGTCGTCGCGCTGGCGAGCGGCAAGATCGAGAGCGCAACGCGCGTCGTCGCCGACGCCTCGGACGCCTTCGGCGAGCTGCGGAGCGGGAGCCTGCGGCCGCCCGCGGACCTCTGCGGCGGCGACGCGTTCGGGCGGCTCGTCGTCGTCGTCGAGCGCGGGCGCGTCTCCTTCGTCGACGACGCGCACGGCGGCGTCGTGACGTCGACGCGCTGGGCCGGCGAGGCCATCCTGTCGACGTCCGACGACCGGACGGTGAAGCTCTGGCGCCGGGACGGCGCGAGCTTCGCGCTCGCGTGGGCGGGCCGCGGCCACGGCGCGCGGTGCTGGCACGCCGCGCCCGCGGGGCCCCACCACGTCGTGAGCTGCTCCCAGGACGGCACGGCCATGCTCTGGGCGACGGCCGACGGCCGGCGCGTCGCGACGTTGACGGGCCACCGGGGGAAGCACTGCTGGCGCGCGGCCGCGCGCGTCGACGCCGGCGGCGACGTCGTCGTCGCGACGGGCGGCCACGACGGCGCGGCCCTGCTCTGGTCGCTGCGCGACGTGCTGGCGACGGGGCCGGATCCCCTCGTGCTCTCCGTGCCCGGCCCGCGGACCAAGGTCACGTGCGCGCGGATCCTCGGGCCCGACGCGGTGCTCGTGTGCCTCGCGTCGGGCGCGGTCTGGCGCGTCGACGGCGCCGACGGCTGGCTCGAGCTCGCGCCGCCCGCGGCCTGGAGCAACGGCTTCAAGGACGCGGCGCTCCGCGCGAACCTCGCGGCGCTCGCCGGCGGCGACGGCGGCGATCTCGCGGTCGTCGACGTCGAGACGTTTCGGGACGCGCCGGTCGCGCGGTGGACGGCGGCGCCGGGCGCGCGGACCATCGCGAGCTGGTGGGTGCCCGGGCCGACCGTCGGCGCGGCGGGCGTCGCGCTCGCCGTCTCCGCCGCGGACCGGAGCCTGACGTTTTGGACCGGCGCCGACGGCGCGGCGCCGCCGACGAAACTGGCGACGGCGTTCGCCGCGCCGCGCGGCGGCCTCGTCACGGACGTCGCCGCCGTCGGCGGCTGCCTCCTCATCGGCGACTCCAAGGGCGCCGTGTCGGCGCTCCGCGACGGCGCGGTGCTCTGGGTCGCCAGGGGCGTCAAGCGGATCGCCGACGGGAGCGCGTCGCGCGTCGGCGTCGGTGTGTCGAGAGTCGTCGCGGACGCGCCGGGCTTCGCGACCTTCGGGCGCGACGGGCGCATGACCACGTACGAGTGGGACGCCGGCGATCTCCACCCGCCGCGGCTCGCGTCGTGCGCGTTCGTGCGCCCGCTCGCGGCGGTGACGCGCGCGCGCGACGGCCTCGCGGCGGGCTTCGTCGGCGACGCTTTTGTGGTCGTCGACGTCGCGTCGGGCCGCTGCGTCGCGCGCGTCCACGAGAGCCACGACAAGCGGCCCCACGACGCCGCGCGCTTCGCGGGCAGGGTCCACGCGGCGTCGACGATCGGCGTGTCGACGCTTCTGGTCGCGCGGTCGCCGCCGGGCGCCAAGGTCCTGGCGTCCCACCCCCTCGGCGCGCCCCTCGTCGCCGACGGCGTCGTCAAGGCGCTGTGGCTCGGCGACGGCCGCCTCCTCTGCGCGGGCGGCAGCGGCGACCTCGCCGAGTACGATACGAAGCCTCTCGCGCGCGCGCGCGGCCTCGAGCCCGCGATGCACGCGGAGCGCGCGCTCGCGACGCGGCGCGGCCTCGCCTTCTCCGCGAGCACGGCGGACCTGCGCATCTGGCGCGGGCGGCCTCTGAGGCCCGCGGGCGCGCTCGCGCTCGCGCCGGGCCGCGACCAGCGGCACCGCGTCGCCGCGCTCTGCTGCGGCGACGCCGGCGACGAGGTTTTGATCTTCGCCGGGGACTCCTGCGGCGTCGTCACCGCCGCGACCTGCGATGCGAATGGCGAGGGCGCTCTCGTGCGATGCCGCGCGTCCTACGACGCCGCGCCGGTGCTCTCGCTCGCGTTCGAAGGGCGCGCGCTGGTCGCGGGCAACACGACGGGCCTCGTCTTGCTCTGGCGGTATCGCGACCACGAGCTCGCGCTCCTTTTGGCGGTGAAACCTCACGCCGCGGGCGTCACGGGAATCGCGCTCGCGCCGCGAGGAGGCGGGTTCGTCGCGGTCTCGGGCGGCGACGACCACGCGCTCGCGACGACGGCGTTCTCCCTCGACGAAGAGGGCGCCCTCGCGTCCGCGGCCGTCGAGATCATCCCGACGCCGACGGCGACGCCCGTGCGCGGCCTCGACCGCGCCGGCGACCGCGTCTTCGTCGCGCACGGCGACCAGCGGTGCTCCGCGTGGCGGATCGCCGACGTCGGCGACCGGCCCGCCTGGCGCGCCGCCGCGACCGCGGCCGACGCGACGACGCTCGAGGCCCTCGGCGACCCCGTCGACGTCGACATCGGCGACGTCCACGGCGTCGCCGTGTTTCGCGACGGCGACGACGACGTCGCCCTGGTCCACGGCGGCGGCGGCCTCGCGACGGCGACGTTCCCGATTCGATAAAAACCGGCAAAATTTAGGCGCTCCGCGGGCTCTTGTTGGCCGCCTCCTCCTCGGCGTACTTCGCCTCGAGGTTGCGGACCCCGGCCGTCGTCAGGGGGAGGCGGCCCGCGGCCTTGAGCACCGCGGCGGCGTCGACGGTGTCCGGCAGCGTCCGGAGCCACATCATGAGGCCCTCGAAGTCCATCGCCAGGATGGCCTTCTCGTTCGTCGACAGGAGCGCGACGGCGACGCGGTAGACGGGCTTCCAGCCCTCGGCGAGGAACGCGTCCCAGACCCTCGCGACGAGCGCGAAGGGGAACTGCGCGGAAAACACGGTGACGAACCAGTGCGTCGCGTACATGTTGGGCTCGAGGCCCTCCTTGGCCATGTGCGCGGCGACCTTGGGCGCCAGCTGCGCGAGCACGGCGCCGTAGACGAAGAGGCAGCGCTGCGCGCCGACCATGCCCGGCAGGTAGAGCTCCCGGAGGCTCGTCCGCCGGCTCCGGAGCAGCGCGACGAGGAACCAGAAGCAGTCCTCCTCCGCGGACCCCGCGAGGTCGCGCTCGCTCGCCTGGGCCCCGAGGTGGCGCTTCGACATGGACCGCATGGGGTCGTTGCGCGACGCGTCCTCGCCGCAGACGTGCACGAGCGCGAGCGCGGCGACGTAGTTCATGCCCTGGCAGTAGCCGCACTCCTCGTCGAGCGCCGCGTAGGCGCAGAGCACGCGGCGCAGCATGGACACGCCCTTGTTCTCGACGCTCTGGTCGCTCCGCCCGCCGTCGACGAGCGCGGTCTCGAACATGGGGTGCCGCGGGTACGTCCGCGTGAGGTCGCGCTCGATGATCTCGTAGATGGACTCGGGGTCCACGGGGTCCTGGCTGCTCCGGGACACGAGGGCCGGGTAGGCCTCGGAGCTCGCCCGCCGGTAGTGGTCGGGCCCCTCGTTCGGCGCCCGGTCGCTCCCGTACGCGACCTCCAGCAGCAGCGGCCACGTCGTCGTCCGCCACGCGCGCGGCACGCCCTTGCGCACGCGCTTCTTCAGCAGCGCGCGGCTCCGCGCCGTCGCGCCCATCTTCTCGAGGCCCGACACGGGATGCACCATCTTGCTCCACTTGGGGTCGCGCGTGCGGTCGAGCTCCGCCGTCGTCTTCAGGAAGGCCGCGGAGCTCGGCAGGGCGTGCCAGTCGCGCCAGGCGTCCTCGGTCATCGACGGCGCGCCTGCCTTCGCTGGCTGGGGCACCATCCGCGCCATCGCGGCGCCGCCCGTGGCCTCGGCAGCCGGTTGCGCGGAGAGCGCTCGCGCCTGTTGCTCGCACACGACGCTGAGAGAGCTGAGCTGCGCAAAATCTAGTGGAAAACAGCGACTTCAGGACTTCAACTTAAGCCGCCGGGATTTCAACAACGTCTCGACAGGGGCAGCCCCTCGATGGCCCAGGCACGCGCAGGATAGCTAAACAGTAGGCATGGGTTCGAACGACGACGACGACGTCGACGGCGGCGTGCGCTTCGTCCTCACGCAGCAGGATTTCCAGCTTATCCTCATCTGCATCGTGCGCGTCGGCGTCGCCGCGGCCTGCGTGCTGCGGCTCGTCGGGGACTTCCACGAGTCGCGGTCCGACGGGCGCACGCGCATGGACGCGGCGCTCATGATGACGCGGCGCCACGGCGCCGTGCCGCTCGTGCTCTACCTCTTCGTCGACACGCTCGGGAGCTTCCTGGAGAACTTCGAGGCGCTCCTGGAGCTGCGGCTCATCCTGCTCGGGCTCTGGGCGGGGCGCGTCATGGTGACGCGCGCGCTCCTGCTGGACCCCATGGGCCGCGAGGCCCGCATCGACGCGCTCGAGGCGCTGGCGCCGTTCCTGCGCGTCGTGGCGCTCGCCGGCGGCGTCGCGTCCTTCGTGCTCCGGTCGCCCGCGCTCGGGCGCCGGGCGGTCGCGTCGCGCGGCGTGCTCTGCGTCCTCGACGGGTCGGCGCTGCTCGGCGCGGCCTTCGTCGCGGCGCTCGCGGCGCGCATGCTCGTGCCCGTGCGGCGCGCGCTCCAGGCCGAGAAGAAGAACGAGGCGGAGATCGCGGCCGCCAAGGCCGCGCTCGCGGCCCGGGACCTCGCGGGCGTCGAGGCCGACGGCCGCGCGGGAGCCCTCGCCTGCGCGTCGCTCATCTCCCAGAAGCGGAGCCTCGTGCGGCTCCTGGGCTTCGCCGTGCTCGCGGCGGCCGCGGCCGCGGGGCTGCTCGAGTTCCACCTCGCGGAGGCGCTCGGCTTCGCGCGGCCGGGCCGCGAGCTCGACCGGATCGACGGCCCCCGCGAGGGCGCCTTCCAGTATCTGTACGCCGTCGCCGAGCTCGCGCTGCCCGTCTACTGGATCCTGCTCATGCAGCCCCTCTTCGCGCGGCACGGCGCGCCGCCGCCGGGGCCGGCGAAGCGCGACGACGACGTCGAGGCGGACAAGGCGCGCCGCTGGGCGCGCTGGGCGCCGTCGGGCCGCTCCGGCGACTTTTGCGGCGCGGAGTTGGCGCCGCCGGACGAGGTCCACAACCCGGCGCACGACCGCGACTCGTCGCGCGACACGGACGTCGAGCTCGTCGCGCCGCGCGCGTCGCGGAGCAGCGGCCTGCGCATGCCGACGCGCCAGCCGTCGGAGCTGAGGCGCAAGGGCACCGTCGTCGAGCTGCGCGTTCCAGCGTGGACGATGTTCGAGAGATGAAAAAACAATCTTCGAGAGATGAAAAAACGATCGTCTCGGTAGGCGCGTCCGCGCCGAGGAGCTCTTCCTGCTCGACGAGCTCGCCGGGTCGCCCGTGGCGGCCCTCTTCGCCGGCCGCGACTCGTTCGTCGTCGCCTACGAGCGGCGGCGCAAGCTCGGCGACGCGGGCGACGGCGCGGTCTGGCGCGAGCTCGCGCGGTCGGACGTCGTCCGCAACGAGACGAACCCGACGTTCGCCGTCGCGCTCCACGTCGAGTGCTTCCCGGACGAGCAGCTCGAGCTCGGCTTCGCCCTCGGGAACCTGGCGGCGAGCGACACGGCGCGGTCGCCGGAGCCGGAGTGGAGCGGCTACTCCGACGGCGAGCACCACCGCGACTGCCCGCCCGTCTTCATGGAGGAGGAGCGCGTCGAGGACCACCGCGTCGTCGGCCGCGCCTTCGTGGGCTGCCGCGAGCTCCTCGCCGCGGCGACGCGCGGCGACGGCGCCTTCGACCCGAAGCGCGACGGCCTGCCGACGATCTGGCGCCCCGCGCGCGCGGGCGACGCGTTCGAGCTCAGCGCGCCCATCGCGCCGTCGATCTGGCGCGACGCGCCCGTGCGCTACCGCGCCGGCGGGCGCATCCACTTGACGTGGCGAGCGGCGTGGAAATGGTTTTGGCGGGACGTTATCTGACGCACGCGCAGGTGCCGGCGCCTCGCGCCCGGCGCGCGGTCGTCGAGCCACGGCGACGGCAGCATCTGGCGCACGCTCGTGCTGCCGCGGCCCGCGGGCCCCGCGGCGCTCCTGCGCGAGGAGCTCCTCGAGGGCAAGTTCAGCACCGGCCGGCGTCCCGCGGGAGAGAAACCATCGTCATCGTACGCGCAGGCCTCAGCGTGCCCGCGGCGTGCCTCCGCGAGCTCAGCGGCTGCCGGCGCCACGACGCGACGATCCTGGCCGCGCGGCTCAAGGCGCACCGGGCCAAGCTCGGCGTGCAGAACGCGTTCTCGAACGCGAAGCGCCTCGAGGTCGCGGTCCAGTGGCTCGCGAAGATCACGCAGAAGATGCAGTCCGCGGCGTCGACGTACTCGCGCCTCGCCGAGGGCTACGAGGCCGGCGCGCTCTGCGACGCCGACGGTGCGTCTCGTTTCCCGTCTCCTCTCCCGGCGACCCGCGCCCCGCAGGCGGCCAGCCGGTCCAGAACTTCAAGGCCTCGACGCTGAAGAAGAGCGCGGCGCTCGCGTTCGTGCCCATCAACCTCCACATCCAGCTCTTCGTCGTGGACCCCAACGACGAGGCGCGGACGCCGACCGTCGACGCCATCGCGACGTGCGGCGCCTTCGCCGCGCACGCGTCCAAGTTCAAGCGCGGCGGCGTCGCGCAGCTCAAGCGCGACTTCGAGGCGCGCGCGCGGCTGCTGCGGAAGCGGGCCGAGCGCGACGAGGCCGCCAAGGAGGAGGAGGCCAAGGCCTGGGAGGCCCAGAAGGCCGAGGCCGCGGCGGCGGCGTCCACGACCGCCGGCGCCGCGGCGCCGCCGCGGACGCACTTCGCGCCCGACGAGAGCGCGAGGAAGGCGGACGAGGGCCGGCGCGCGCACTTCGCGCCGGACCCCGTGCGCCCGGCCGTCGTCGAGCGGCCGTCGGACCATTACGAGCGGCCGTCGGACGTCTACGCGGCCGCGGCGGCCGCCGACGTCGACCGGCCCTCGGACCTCGACCGCGAGCGGAGCTCGGAGCGGTTGAGTACCGCGCAGCGTCGGCTATGAAGCGGCGGCGGGGGCGGCGCGCCGCCGCCGAGGCTCAGACGCCTGGGGGCGCCTCCGAGGCCCGCCTCCGACGTCCGCGCGCCCTCGCAGGCACCGCGAGCTCCGCGAGCGACGACGGCGACGACTTCGGCGACGACACGCCGCCGCCGCCGCGGGCCGAGCCGCGGCGGTCGACGCGGCTCAGCCTCTTCTCCCTCTTTTCCGGCGCCGGGCCCGACACGCCCGTGTCGACGCCGGGCAACGAGACCTTCAAGACGCGGCCGGACACGCCGCGGCAGCAGTCGAACCTCACGAAGATGCTCCGGCGGCACACGAACGTGCTTCTCCTCCGCGTCTCGATGTTCTCGCCGCGCGTCGCCCGCTCACCGAGACGCGTAGGTCTTCCTGGGCCAGAGCCCCTTCGCCGCAGCGGTGCGCGACGGCCGCGACGCGTGGCCCATGGACCTCGCCGAGGTGCCCCTCGACGGCAAGCTCATCGAGCTCGACTGCGCGATCCAGCTCCGCCTCGACCAGGTGCTCTGCGCGGCGCTGTCGTGCGTCGCGACGTGCGCGAGCTTCGAGCTCGAGCGGCGCTTCGCGCTGCCGCGCCACGGCGCGGGCACGCTCAGCAGCCTCGAGGCCCTGCCGACGCTGGGGCTGCTCCTCGGCTTCGAGTCGCTCCTGTCGACGCAGGGCGCGGAGCTCGCGATGCTCGGGGATTTCGCCCGCTTCGGTGTTTTTCTTTCGCGCACGGCCGTCTCCCGAACCGATCCGTAGGTCGGCGCCGTGGACCAGCTCGACCGCTGCGGCCTCGTGCTCGTCGGCCACGCGCCGGGCGAGCCCAAGGCGCCGCCGCGCGTGAGCCTCGCGGGCCCGCGGCGCAACGACGCGACGCTCTACCTCTCCGTCGACGGCCGCATCCTGGACGTGATGGTGCCCGCGCGCGACCCGGACGCGCGCGTCCCCCTGGCGCTCGTGCCCGTGCTCTTCAGCCAGGGCATCAACGAGATGCAGTCCATCGCGAACACGGGCGTCTCCGGCGACCCGGCCTTCCAGGAGGACATCAACCGCGCGGCGCTGGGGCGCCTCGAGAAGCACGTCGAGGACGTCGTCCTCTACTTCGACGGCGACTTCGACGACGGCCGGAGCTCGGGCCTCGACCGGCGTCCCGCGGATTTCGAGAGCCGGGGAAACGACGAATGGCGCGACGATCTTCGAGAGCTTTTGGCCGGGGAAACGACGGAACATCCCGCGGGCGCGACGATCTTCGAGAGCTTTTGGCCGGGGAAAAATCGTCACCGGCGCGTTCGGTAGGCCTCGACGGCACGCTGGAGCAGCTCCAGGACGACCTCGAGGACCTCAAGGACCTCGTCGCGCGATCGCTCCACGCGTCGCGCAAGCACTGGCAGAACATCGTCGGCGGCGAGGTCGTCGCGAAGAAGCACTGGCAGATCCTCGTGGCGGCCGCGGACCTCGTCCGCGCGGCGGGCGGCGTCCGCGTGACGTCCTGCAAGTCGGGCAAGGACCGCACGGGCATGAGCGTGACCTTCGAGCAGGTGCGGCTGGCGCGGAAGCACCTCGACTGCGGCGACGACGACGTCGACCGCGTGCTGTACCTCTCGCGCCTCCACGGCACGCGCCTCGAGAACGCGCGCAAGAACACGGGCCGGCCCGTCTTCGCCTTCAACCTCTTCCAGGTCGGCATGCTCCCCGCGGTCTACCGGCCGCCGCTCGCCGTCGCGAACAAGGCCGTGGCGAGTTGACTTTTAAAGCGGGTGGTGGTCGCTCGGGGGAGGCTCTGAGGGTGCACACGTCCGCCACCACCGGCTACGGCTGCGAATGAGCCGTCGTTGAACAAGCACATCTATAAAGCAATGCTGCAGTAATCCGTAGCTAAGAGACGGTCTCTCGTGCGAGCATTTCAGCGGCCGATGATGGAATCTCCACCTTAGAGGGCCCCGCGCTCCTCGAATATGCAGCGACGTGCAACGATCCCAGTGGCTTTGAGGTCCGCAAACATGTGGGTGAGGCACATGAAAAGACGTGACATCCGGACGATTGCGAGGCGACGCAAACGGGCAGCCCCAGGGGGTGGAATGAGGCGCGGCAGCTTCC